ATATTATTTTAAACTAAATATCACGTCACCTTGGACTCTCAGAACTAGTTTTGGGAATATTTTCCCTCCTTCTGACTTTTTTTTTTGGACTAAACATTAAATTAATTTATCAGAAGAAAAAAGGAAAATGAAAATAATCATCTAACATATAGGAGAAATAGAGAAAATGTTTTTTTAAAGAAAATCCAAAATCCAAAATTTTTTTTAAGGCCACTTGGACCATTTTTAAAGTGGAGATGTGACACGAAATTAAAGGGGATTCCTCCAATTTTACACATTAAAATCAGTTTACATGTCATAGTTATTAAAAAAAACGTCTTCTGTGGTTCTGGAGGAGGAAATAACCCCGATGATGTCATAGTGATGTCATCGGGTTATGGCGGCTTGGGCCTGGCGACAACAAAAAAAGCAAGTCTGCATTACAAAATTTGAGGCGTGGCATTTAAAATACATCTCTGACAGACTAAACAGGCAGATTATAATGTAAGACACTTTCCAGTTGCATTATGGGAAATGTAGGATCCAGCGTTTTTGGAGTTTGACCCATATTAAAAGCTAAAAATCAGGATATTTTGACCTCTGCTGCTTTGATTATGCCCATTTAAAAATTATAGTGTGATACTAAATTGCTTATTTTCTTCCAACTTAATGTTCCTGTTTAAACACTGCGATTTTTATGTGGACGCTGGCTGGGAATTTGTAGAAATTGAGAATGAGCACTAGGAAAGTTCGCTGTCACTGCTGTTCTCCATCTTTACTGAGCAACTGCAGAAACACTAAGATCTCCAGTGCTGAATCATGACGTCTAAATATTTGACACCACTGTTCAGTTAACACCTCACATTAGTATTGAATCAGACATGAGTCAGTTTTCAGATTTAATGTGATTTTTTTTCAGAATGAGTCTCACATGAAAGGACAAAGATTTGTGGACTTACACCTGCAGAGTGAACACAGACAGGCGGGCTACGCGAGACTCTAATGAATTTTTTTGGCAAATTGTAATCAACCCGGGCCGTCGTGGTTGGCTGATAAATGAGACCCGGGGGGAACGGCCTTGGCTCTTCCCTAAATTAACAGCAACCTGCTCGGGCTTCAGATGAACTCCTGCTGATTAATCCTGACGGAGCTGCTGCAGCAAAGTGTGTGTCGCCTTCTTCTTCTCTGGTGGTGGTTTCCTCTGCTGGGGGACAAAATGTGAGAAAGGAGACTGTGCATTCACATTTATAGGCCTAATCATGAGGCGTCCTGGTGACACGTAGAGTTAAAATCGCTGACCGTGTTAAACGGCACCAGTTTGAGTCTAAGTGGGAACCTTTGTTTCACCCCGATTTCCTGTCACCTCTCGACCCCTACTGTCAAGAAAAAAAAGCCTCCAAAAGTGAAGCCAGAAGGAGTCAGGGGCACCAGAAAAGTCTCTCACTCCAAAAATCACAAATACTTGATTTCCATCCCACAAAAAGAGAAAATGCACTTTTTAAAGTGACAGAAAAAGTCAGTCAGTGGACCTTGAGTTGGGATTTTTTTTGTCAGTTTCCAAGATCAAAAAATGATACGATGTGTGATGTTTAAGTCAACACAGAGAAGAAATCCTAACAGCTACAGAGCTGGCAGGTCAACAGATACGTCTAAATAACAGAGAAAACACGTGTGAAAATGGTCGAAAGCTCTGGAAAACTGGATGTTTAACAAACTACATGTTTCTGTTTTTATGACAAGAAGGAAGATGCTGCTACATCTTTCTTTTGCTGAAGGTTTAGCTCATGTTTTGTTTTGCAGTTAAGCTTTAACAGCAGGTTTCTGTTCTCCAGTTCTGTAGGAACTTCCTGTGTTGACTGAAGCAGCTCCATCTGCTGCCTCTGGACTCTTTATTGTTAACACACACACACAGAGGCTTCCTGTTAAATACAGGGCTGAGGAGGGATTAGCAGGGTATTATCTAATTACAAGACAACAATAAACACAACCCATACACACACACAGTCAGTGACTCCATGAGACCACTTTCACTGTAAAAACCATCAAAAATTAGACATAATTTGGTTAAGTTTGGACGCAGAGTCACACTTATCTCAGAGGAAAAAGGTGCAACCAAAATGTGAGCTATTAACTATTAATTTCACTTTGATTGCTTCATCCAAAAACAGTATTATCTCAAATACAACATGAGATGCTTCCATAGATATTAAACCCAATATTCTAAAAATAATTTCGCTTCTTCTAAACGTAGCATCTTTTGGAAGATGATAAAAATGATAATAATTGAGCTGATTCAACTAAATAAACTAAATTAACTTTCTAAAGTTGTGTCCCTTTTGGGCAGGCCTCAGACTTTGATCTGATTATGTTGGAGAACAAATCAAAAGAGATAAAAACTGACTCTGGCTGTGATGAGCAGCCCGTTCAGAACTTCGCAGGCCAAACAATTTGTGGTGAAAGTTGCAATGTTATTGTGTAAATAAATGAAAACTGCAAAGGTAGATGTGATTTATTTTTTTTATCTTTAGAATTATAGTTGAATCATTAAACAGTCCCTCCAGGACTTCATGGGCCTAAAACCCCGGATATATTTGCTTTTAACTACGCGTTCGCCCATGCAAGATGGCTGCCACACATATCCAGCGCTTAGGAACGCAGGTTGTGCACGTCTCCAGAAATTAGCGCTACGCGAGAGATGCACTTCAGCACATGAACGTGGGCGCAGTTTGTCGATCTGCCCGGCAGGTCAGCGAGTAGTATGTAGCTGCAGTACCGCAATCCTAGGACCGGAACTGCATTTCTAGGACCCTTGTTTACTTTGATACTGCAAGCTAGCTGGCTGGCTAGCTAATTTGCTAACCCTAACCCTCTTGACAGCCCCCCGAAGCCAATTGCCCTCAACACAACCAACACAGAGTGTGTGCCTAAACTTAAGTTATCGACCGGCTAACCCTACAGCTGCGCACATTAGCCTCACGGCCGACGTGCTAGCAGACAGGGTTAACCTCCTTTGTGTTGCTGTGCATTACCACCACCAGTCCACCAGATGGCTGCTGTCACAAAAGAACGACGGCCCTAGAACTGCAGTCCCAGGATTGCTGGGGTCCCGAAACTGCAGCCTCTGGTACTGCAGCTACATAATATTGAGGTCAGCAGCAATCTCCTGTTCCACACAGCAGCCAAGGTGGTGGCGGAAAGCAGTTGGTTCGCCAACAGCCATTGAACGCAAAAGAAGGTCAGTAGCAGACTTTTAAAAAGGGAGATTTATGGCGGGATGTTTATAATAAACATCTAGTCCGCTATCGGAGCTAGTCCGCAATTATCAAGATTGTTATGACGTCTCATTAAAATCTCTATGTTTGGTTTGTTTGAGATGTCCAAATTTGGAGGTTGTCAAGGAAGATAATCCGGTGTCAGCGAGGGATGATCCGGCCCTGATCTGCCCCCTAGTGATTCGAGTTTTATCCTCCAGGTACAGGCAAAGTACGCAGGCAAGTTTATGAACAATGCCGTTTGCGTCACTTACGCCTGTCTACGCCTACGCATTGTTAGTATGTTGGGGGCTTAACCCTAAAGTGCAATTTATACTTCTGCGTCAAATCGACGGCGTAGCCTCTGCGTAGCCCCCTACCCTACGCCGTCACCTACGGCGTAGCCTGACGTGCACCTTCTCAAAAATGTAGCTACACTTTCATTATCAGAATGCGATCCACTCGGTCGGTAACATTTTGAAAAGGCTACACCAGACGCACGTTTACAATTTTACTCCCATTCACGTTAGCGGAGCGCTAAATCAGAAGTTAGCCTGCACACAGTGGACGCTGTAGCACTACTGCCGACTAGCGTTTGGTGGTGTAATTGCTGATTGACGGACACACCAACACACAAGTATAAATGCCTGGCTACGTGCGTAGCTACGCCGTAGACCCTACGCAGGAGTATAAATCAAGCTTAACCCTGCATATCCAGTTTACCTTGATTCTTTCTTGCAGCTGACTGGGATGCAGCCGCCTGTTACTCATTGATTTGTCTCCTCTGACGTCCTCCATGGGCGCCATTCTGTCCGCGTATGTTTTGCGGTGGCAAAGTGTTTCTCAATAGACAATTTCCTTTCATGTCCAGCCACAATACTGCATGTTCTGCAGAAAAGTTTACCCTCACTTAGGTAAAGAAGATCTGGAGCTGTGAGTTTGCTGACGTATCACAACATTTTGTGGGAAACGGCAATGATAGGTAAAATTTTCAGAAAAGTTGCAGTGACTTGAATTGAATGCGGTTTTATGTCATTTATTATGTCAAAAGTTACGATCACGACTTCCCAATATCCCGGCGGGACAGATAAATCTGAATCTGTTGACATCACATAACGTTTCCTGATTCAAAAAAAATACAATAACATCAGAGGTTATATTAAGAAGCATTATTCTTGTCTTTATTGAAAAGAGACACATTACAGTAGAAGACTCTGTATTAAGTAAAATTTTTCAACAACGGTACTGTACAGCCAACAAAAAGTCAATAACAATAATAATAATAATTAGAATAACAATGACAATAAGAACAATAATGCATCTGGATGAAATTATAACAATTATAATAAAAGTGGAGAGGTCGGAGAAAAATATACAAAAACGTAGGTTTGAGGGGGCGGAGTCTTCCTCACAGGGTTCGTTTATAAATAATGTGGAGGACAGCCCTGGTAGGTGGAGCTTAGGGGTAAAGGCTACAAGAGATAACACAACCAGACAAACCAAACGTTGATCATACTGAGTCGTTTTTTAGTTTGAAGTCTATGTACAGGTGAGGTGGCGCAGAGCTGCAATATTAGCGCCGTTTCTTCGTTCTCCGGATCTTTCAAAGCAGACGTGATTCATTTACAAGCAGGCAGCTTCACTTGTTTGCAGCGTGAATCTTGTTATATCTGTGCTAACGCCACTAGAGAATATATTGCGCCTCGCTATTGTCCGTTAGCGGAGATTAACTAGCTGATTGCTAGCTGCAACTGGAGATTCACAGGATGTTTCTAGTCTCTAAACATGTTCCAACTGTTCATGTTTAGTTTTAAGAATAAGAAAGACGGGTAGTAAAGTTCGCTTAGATAAAGTTGAAAATAACCATGCTAACGTATTCAGCGCTAGCGGCAATTAGCTTCAGATCAGACTCAGCAGTTTCTGTGACTACAAACAGATATTACTGAGCTTTCTTTGCTGCAATGGGATTAAATCATCAGATTTTGGATTCAAGTGTCAGCTAATGCATTAACAAACAAACAAAACTGTTCTGAAAAGAGTCGGTGTCAAGCAGTTTTCATTAGCTGGGTTTAGCTAACTGATCATTAGCTGGGGCTGGAGATTCACAAGACATTTCCATTCTCTAAACATTTTCCAATTTTAAGTCATTTATAGTTTGCTTGCAAGCCGAAACAATGCTGCCCATGCTGGTTTGTTTACCGCTAACTACAGTTAGCTTCAGCGATAGATGATTCAAACAGTTAAAAGCAGCCATTACAGAGTTTATTCTGAGATTAAATGAACAGACTTGGGCCGTACACAGCCCTGCTTCTCTCCATTAGCCGTGTTTAGATAACTGCAGCTTGATTTTGATTTTTACTGGTAGTAGTAGAAACTGCTTGCAAGCTGAAACAATGCTGCCATGCTAAAGTGCTCACCACTAGCTGCAGCAAGGGTTAACGTTAGACCCTTACAGAACTTCTCCTGCGCCATACAACTTAAATAAACTGACTTTGCGGACTTGTCCAACACAATGTTTCTATCCTCTAGACATTTCCCAACTTTTCATGCTTGGTTTAGCCTTAGAATGAAAACACTTGTTGCTAGCTTGTTCACCGCTAGCGGTCAGCGCTATCATTGACCCTGCAACGGATTATTTTGGTGCCTATAGTCATTTAAAAGCAGATTTTACTGAGCTTTCTCCCCTCATGTGAACTTAAATAAATGGATTCTGGATTCCCAAGTTGCTCAGAATTTAGATGCCGTTAAAATGAGAGCACCAATCAGGTCAGAGGACACCGCCAGAAGCCGCCACCGCTTAGAGAAATAAGCAAACGTCAGTTAGTGCCAATATGAGAATAAAAGAAAGCTGTAGTGGCAAGTGTTGAGCTTAAGGACAGACTGAATCAGATTTAGTGCATTTCTGTCATAAATAAAAGGACGTCTTTGCCCTGTCCTGCTGTCATGGGTAGAGTTAGGACAGAGTCGGATATAAACATAAAATAAACAGTTTGAAAACACAAGTTGCGGTCAAACCCCTTGGTTTAGTATTTATGCAAGATAAAATGCCATCTTTGAGATGACTGGGAGGGCACGTACAATTACAAGGTCGGACGAAATTAGGAACGTAAAGGCAGACGTTTAAAACAAAAAGGCAGAAGGAGAAAATATTTTCAGTTCATGATGACTTCATCTTTTGACTGTTTCTATCAAGTCTACAAACATGAGTGTGTTTGTGGTTTAACGGGAATATTGCAGCAACGTCAGCGTGTGAAGTCACCATGTGACGGTGACTGATGAGTTTATGAATATTGCTTGGATACACAGTCGGTTTGAGAGCTGCTTCTCAACCTTTACGTTACAATTTGAGCACGAAAACAGCAGAGAGAGCAAAGACTAAGAGACGAGCAGGTGATGCTCAGCATAGTGTTGAAGGTGAAAATCATCACACACAAATGTCGAGGTTAAGCAGGTTATCCCGACGATCGATTAGCGTTCAGTCGACGAAAGAAATCAACGCTCAGTCAAATCTACGTCGTCGTCATCAGGGTGAGAAAGGTGTGTTTCTTTACAATCTTGTGTGACGGCTTAAAATTACCAGTGCATCTTTAGACCAGTGGATCCCAACCTTACCATCCTTTATGCATTTAAGTAGCTTTGAATGTCCAACGACTTAAATTCCAAGGGTAGGTTTAGTCCAAAAGCTATGACCATGTGGACTGTATCCACCGACTACGCGAGTTCTCACATCTACGTACGCCAACACCCGATGTAAACAGAAACGTGTTTGCATCAGCAGTCCACGCCACTGACTTCATCCCCGCCAGTGTTTATATCAATTAAGCAAGCAAAGATTGTAGGAATGTTTGTGGACTTTACTAGAGTCCAGTTTCATCTTGGACTTCTGTCTCAGGCACAGCCACCAGCTTCGGCCAATAAAGTCCAGGTAAAGCTTATTTTCCAAATGACTGTACTGTAAGTGAGACAACAGTATGGCGAATACCCAGTTGGCACTGTTTTGGTTTCAATAGTTTGCTTTCTTAGGCCTCATGGTATTGACCCAAACTTGATTAATTTGGTGTTGGGTCGACTCATTCTTGACCACATGTCGGCCGTCTGGACCCAACCGTGACCACATTGGGACTTGGTCTCGACAGAACAATAGACCGCATTTGGACTGAAGTCCATTTATTCTTTGTCTTGACCACATTTTAGCCATCTGGACTCAACCTTGACCACACTGGGACTTTGTCTCAACAGAACACTTTTTGCATTTGGACACGGTCTTGATTCGTTCTGAAAACTGCACAGACTTGGAATAGTCTTGGACTGGCCTTTAGTCGCCTTGACTCTAGCCCTCTTTGTACCGTGTAAATGTTCAAATATTTTTATTTCTCATCCTGTAAACCTTCTTGCGACCCTTCGGACTGGAATTGTAGCTCTGCAAACATTTCCAGGTTGGGAACCACTGGTTCAGACGCCTAGTGACCCGCAAAAGTTTAACTTCCTGCCTTGGATGGATCAGCGCTACACTGAGCCAAAACACGCAACATTCAGTCCATGCTGATATCGTTTTTTCCCCCTAAACAAACACACATTCTAATATTTCACTTCCACTCTGCAACCCGACATCCAGTAAGTACTTCCTGTGCTCTCTAATTTACATGGCGTCACCGTTAAAAGAGAGAGAGTGACAGAGAAAGAGAAGTTTATTTACAACAAGACCAGAGAAGAAGAAGCCCTTCTTAGTGATTCGCTGAGCAGATCGGGGAGATTGTTTGATTGGACGGGACAGGACTGGAGGGCGTTGGCGCTCTAGCATTACAGACGGATTTTTATACACAGAAACACTATTTTGTGGCCATGAAACTTTGAACTTGTGTTACGTTCACTGACTCTTTTCATTCTACTGAGCGTTTACGCCTGTTAAAAGGAAAAATTTTCTACCAGCTGAAAGGAAACAAAGAAAAAAGTTTCCTCCCTCCTCCGTTTCATCATCATCACCGTGATGTGTCTGAGCTGACAGCAGATTCTGTGAACTGAACTCACAGATTTAACAAAAACACCTGAACAAGGAGAAGCAGATCAATTCCCTTTTCGCTCCATTAGTTTCTTAGCTGCTTCCTTGTCTATTCCATTTTTTCTTTTTTACAAGTTAAAACAATTAAATTCACTTCAGGGACACTTTAAATGAAATGTTATTTGACCAGGATGTAAAATCAGGCTCGGGTTTAAGATGCTCACAGTTCACTCAGTTCAGAAAAGTTTTAAAAATCCAACATGTGAAGAAGAACAAGAACAGTTTAGTACATATTTAGTTTCTGGGGTCTTGGGTTTTGGGCTGGCGGTCTAACAAAAAGAGGAACTAGAAGATCTTCCGACATTTTATGGGGAAAACTAAAGAAAATAATCAGCAGATTGTTTGATGACTGAAAAACATTATTATTTGTAACCCCAAAACATACAAATCGTTATATTTATTATTGTTCAAGGAAGAAATGTGACAATACATCATGACATGGATCTTAAATCATATCGTCCAGCTCAAGAATAGCTGAGGAACGATCTAGAAAGTATTATTCCCTTATAACGTTAGTATAAATTTTGTTAGATTCTGAGCTGAGTGAAGTGAAAACAAATGAAACGCTCTGAACGCTGGGTTAAGGACTCTGGGAAAAGACAATGGGGCGTTCATGATCGACAGTCTCCGGTCCCTGAGCCTGGCAAGAGCTTCTGTACACTTAACGACTTTATACACCCGGAAACAAACTAAATAAATCCCCTTACCGTGTTGACATTATTAAACGATTGGTCCAGCAATGCACATCGAGATACAATATACACAATCCAGGAGAAGGAAAAAAAAAAATCCTTAAATTAAAATAGCAAAAAGTGTCTAGGACATGCGATCTACCACACTTCTTTTTCACCTCTAAGATCTGATATCTTTTTTTTTCCTCTTAAAGTTTTACATCAAGATATTGTTCACATTTAAAAAAGAAGAAGGTGTAAAGGCAGGAGGGTTCACATAATTCATAAAATAATAAAAAGTACAGGTGGGAGGAGGAGAAAAGCTGCAGGGATCCAACAGAGAGGAGTCCTCGACTGGTGAAGATGATGAAGATGATGTGCAGTTCAGATGGCTTCCTGTGTGTGAGCATGCTATGAAGACCGCCCCCCCCCCCTCCTGATATTTTTGTCTCACAGTTTGCTTCCTTATGTTGTGACGATATGTTTTGGCGAGACAGATTTTGATTGGCCGGATGATGCGTGGCGAGGTTGCGCGGGAGCTGGTCGCGTAGCGTTAAAGTATAGCTGTGTGATGAGGTATGATTTCCCTAGAGCTTTCAGACTGGCCGTCATTGGCTGTCATAAGTCACGTGATTATTTCCCAAAGAGCTCTGATGAGCCATCGGCGACTGTGGACCACATTTCCCACCGTGCTTTGGGGTTTCCCCACCCGTTGAGGGTTCTCCCAAACAAACAGCGCCACCACTGACCCGTGATAAGCTCTAATCAGTCTTAACGAGCCGACAGCGGCAGTGGTGGCTCTCAGGTGAGGTGGGCGGGGCTTAGAGTCGCAACAGGTAGTGGTTCCCAAAATAAACGGTCAGGATTCTCCCAAATCGGCGTTTGTTTGTTTGTTTGTCATAAAGAGTCAGACGGTGACATGCCCTCGTCATATGAGCGCGGCGCTCCCGGCGCTGCTGCAGCTGTTGTTGCGGTTGATGTTGCGGCGCGACAGGTTGGGCGTGGCCATGAGCGGGAAGCGCTCGTCGGGGCAGCCGTACTGAGTCAGCGTGTCCACACACTCCTGACTGTTGGCCTGCCGAGCGTATGCCATCGCACTGTTGCCGTGGGTGTCCCTCGCCATCAGATCCACGCCGTACTGACAGAGAAAGAGAAGAAGAGAGAGAATAATTAATACATTTTTAATGTCATTTAGCAAAGGGTGAAACGTTTTCTGGCTGGCTGCAGCTCATCTAATGTGAGGATTTCCTGCTGTTCCACTGTTAAACTCAACATCTTAAAGTTTTAAAGAATTACTCCAAATCTCCCAAACGTCACATCGTTTCTATTTAACACGCGTTCAAACCATTCAGGTTTTTTCCCGCCGTCTGACTCACAGCATAACGAAGCGTTACTGCGTTCAGTAACTGTGTTTTAGAGTTTTGTGATCAATAATCTAATCTAAAAAATTTATCTGGACGTTACTATAAATCATAAGTTATAATGGAGCAGTGGCCGGCGTTAAGAACTCAACACTTCCTGCACTGATCCTGCACTGATGTTTCACATTAAAAGCCTTTTCGCGGCTCTTTAAAATGACAGGGGATACAGATCTCAGTATTTGTAAAAATCTTGACAACAGCCCTGAAACATCCACAAAATACTGAATATTAATATAAATATATAACATAATAATGGAGTTTTAAGAAGAAATAAAATTTTTAAACTATTAAAGGATTTAAGAAAAACCTAGGTCACGAGTCTGACGTATTGAATACAACACACTATTACCTGAATGTAGTTTGGAAACCTTTATAACATCACGTGGGGCTTTAAGTGATGCTTTTATAAAAGATTCAGGGTATAATTTGTGTGAAACTCCAGATCCAACCCTCCTCACCTGATTAACCTGCATGTAAACGCCTGTATGTATGTCGGTCTTACCCAGATGAGGAGCTGCGTGATGACCACGTTGCCCTTGCGGCTGGCCAGGTGCAGCGAGTTGCGTCCGTCTCCTTCTCCGCAGGTCTCGTTGACCTGCTGTCGTGACCCGTGGGCGAGCAGCAGGACGACGGAGCGAAGGTCCTCCTCGGCCGTCGCCCTCAGCAGCTGCTGTCCCAGAGACAGGTCGGTGCCGGGCAGCGACGCCAGGAACAGACGCTGCTCGTATTTCGCCCGGATCCAGCGCTCCCTCTCCTCCCTGACAGACAAAACACAGGGACACAGTAACGTTAAGGCTCAGTCTGACTGACAGGAAGCTGACGTTCCTACAAAATAAAACTTCCTGACCCACAGAAATGTTGCAACGTTTGGTTTTTCTTGGAATGTAGAGCTGAAATGATAAGTTGATTAACATTTTCAAGCATAAACTGTAAATGTGAGGACTTGCTGCTTTTCTTTTGTCGTATTTTATAATTTTTTAACTAAGGTCAGCTCTCGTATTCAGAGAGCACTCATATGTGTGTCTCAGATGTTGATTTAAATGAAAAGTTTGACGTTTGATGAACAACTGTGGCTAGAAGAAGACTCTCTGCAGCTTCCCAAACCGCACTGCGAATGTAAAATAAGACACAGTGAGAGACGGAGGGACGGACAGGGTGAAAGGCGAGGGGGCAGTGGACACATTGTTCACCAATCGAGTGTCATTAACTGCTGATCTGTCTAATCCACAGCTCTGATCGCTCTAATCTCTGCACAAATCCCTCCGTGTAAACAGCAGCTCATTCAGCCTGCTGGGATTAGTCCGGGCTCAGGAGAGGGACGGGGGCGATGGGGGAGGATGGCCCAGGGGGACACAGATATTGAGCTGTACCCCCCCCCTTAACAAAATAACAACACCTCCTCCAGGGGGTGAGGTCGCAGGAAATGGAGAAGGAGACAACAGTGGCTCCTCACAGGTTGATGCCTCCACCGTGAAATGACTCCAGTGTGTGTTTCCACAAACAGGAAGCCCGCTTTACTCGAGGGGTCCGACAGCTTCAGCTCCAGCAGGGCTGTTTGAGACTGTGTTGGTGCTTTAATTAGGTTATGGTTATAGTAAGGGGCTCGGTCCTGACAAAGATAGTAACACAAGGATGTGTGTGTCGCAGCAGGACAGACGACAATATAAAATAGCAAAATGATGATAAAATCAGGATAAATAAAAGGTGGCACTAGTGAGTACAAAAGGAAGTAGAACGAGTGAATGTTGGGGTGATACTGCAGTTATTGTGAGATGAATCTTCCTCTGATGTGTGGAGCCGAGTGTCAGTTATTCTTTGATCATATATTTCATATTGTACGTCTTGTTTTAAAGTCATTGTATTGGCACTAGTTCTAAACTTTCTCCTGATCCATCTGATCGCTTTCGGTTTTGATTTGACTGGCATTTAGTCTTTTAATTGAAAAACAGAAACGATAACGTCTCATTGCACCTTTTGTAGATTTGGAAACACATTATTTGTCTTGACATGCCAGCTGAATTTATGCTGTAGTTTTGTTTTTCCATTTTTTTTATGAATTTGAAAAAGTGGAAACCAGACAGACGAAAGACAAGAAACAAACAAAAGACAGGTCTACTAAAAGTAAAACTTCTCAGAATGATGGCTGACATCAGGACCTCCTCGTCCTGTGGGGTTATGGACCAGAACGTTTAAGTATTTGGAGGCCAGTTGGGTTGCTGAGGTGCATGATGGGAGATACAAGTGTGGGAAAAGACAGGATGAGACAGAAAATTTAAGTTTTGGTCGGTGTGGGAACCTGGCAGAATCTCATTAACTCTCTTCCTGGAGACCAGTGTGTGTGTGTGTGTGTGTGTGTGTGTGTGTGTGTGTCTGGGGTGTGGTGGGCGGGGCGGCGGCGGCGGCAGCTAGCATCACGGAATGTCCCGGGGCTTTTCCTTCCTGCCCCGGCCCAGAGACAGAGTAGGGGGGCTGGGCACGAGACTACGGCCGACAGCCCCCGGACAAAAACCTGGAGGTGTCGCCGAGTGTGTGTCTCTGTGTGTGTGTGCTCAGCGGGGCTCTGGCCTTCTGTCCTCCAGAGGACGGAGAGGAAATGTGAGGTTACTGGACCCAGGAAACGCATGCCTTCCCCTGCCGCTGGAGTTGCTAAGGGCCCGGATCTGAGTGTGTGTGAGAAGGTCAGGGGGCGGCACGGAAACGACTAAACTGACAATCAGGTTGTTCCCATCACCTGAACTTTGAAGAACCTTGTCTTTAGTACCTGCACCGCTTTTTGAGTTAGATTAAGAATTTAGTTCCAGGAACTCGTCAACAGTGGAAACAAAAGCAGAACCAGAGACGGTGGATACACGTTACGTTTCTTTACGTTCCTGCAGTAGAAACAGGGAAATATTCTTCAACGCACATTTAGTGCTACAAGCTTTGATTAAATTACGCAGCTGCGGCCTGTTTATCTACTTTAAAACACACCTCTGCACACGGTCTGCAGTAGGGATACCAGAAATTTAGTGGTCGACACAGATACCAGGAAAATTCCACGATTCTGAATACCAATCCGATGCCATTGTAAAATACAAAACAATTAATCCCATCATGTACTTCCAACATTCACTCCTTTAATAAAAACATTTGGACAACGAACAGCTGTGAGAGGACAGATTGATGTCAATATATTTATAAATGAGCAAGCCCAATTAATAATTAAATGAATTAACTTTCTTATCTTTTCTTGTTTAAGAGTGGTCTCTATCTATATTGGCAGTTGTCTCAGATTTTTATATTGAAAAACAAAACTTGATGATTGAAATGGATCGCGTTGCACTTTTCTCAGACGGCCCTGAACTCAGTTCTTAGAGCTGCAAACTGCAGCGTCATCTTTGGTGATTTTCAGGTGATCAAAACTGTAAACGTCCGCCTACATTAGCTCTCCAACTGGGAGAAATCGAGGCTACTGAAACTAACTTCACCTGCTTTCCAAACTCTCTTCTATTCGAAGAGTGGAGGCGGAGCTGTCGCTGCATTTGTCGCTAACTTCCACGTGTTGGATCTTCAGTACCGAGCAAAAGTACAGACATGTTTTCGGAAATTTGGTGTCAACATGGTACCGAAGTATCTGTTCTTGTGCCGTCCCTGGTCTGTAGCTTATTTTACAACATTTAAAGTATGTTTGTAGGGTTGGCTTAATGTCGGTGTCTCAGGTTGGACAGGTGGATATCTGAACATATACACCACACATCATGCGGCCAAAAGTCTGCGGACACGCCTGTGCTTTGCTCTGGTTTTCATATCTTGGTGTCGGCTCCTCACTTCCTTAGTTGTGTGTTGCGGTAAACATCATCACGAGCTAACGAGTCCTGAAAACACTCATCTCCGGACAGTGGAGAGGCTAATTGCACTAATTAACCACACAGAGAGTATATATGTGTGTGTGTGTGTGACAGTATGTGTTAACATGTGTCCACCGAACGCACACACACATATATACTCGGTGTGTTAATCTGTGTGTGTGTGTCCCTTTTCACATCCCATTAGACAAAGTGCTGAGCTCCAGCACCAAGGCATGCTGGGTAGATAATTAAACATGAGATGGTTTGTGACAGGGAAATACACACCCACCCACACCCACACACACACACACACACACACAAATATGTCAACAGGAGCCCAGAGGGGTTAGGATGTGTGTGTGTGTCAGTCAGTTAAATTAAATGATAAAATTACACCAGCCAGAGGAAACGAACACACTTCACTTTCATACATCGACTGTTTCTACTGCTGCCTCTAACACACACACACGCACACGCACATGCACACACACACACACACATGCACACGCACACACACACACCCTCCTCCTGTAACGTCGGATGTAAGTCGATTAGTAGAAACATGACTCAGACCTTCATTTTATTTTGTTTTCGCTGTTCCTGATGACGTTCCTGATCCAGTTTTCAACTCAAAGTGGCTAAAGATACTAATATTATAGAAACACAGTAAAATGTTTGTGTCAAATCACCAAAACTTTTGCATTTTGCTTCTTTAGATAACTGTGATATGAATGCAGAGCAGAAAAATGGAGACAGAAAGAGCAATATGACCGATATGTAGAGATGTATTTTCTTGTGATGGGCGTCGTTTTGTCGTGTTACGTTAAAGGCATCGGACCTCTGACCTCCCATAAAGAAAGTTTAGGAGGACGCCTGCTTTATATACTTTAAGACACTTTAATGTCTCAAAGTGATACTCTATATTTCTCACAGTATAAATGTTCTACTTCCTCCTGTTTGTTTGTTGAAAACTACAGTGAGCTGCTGTTTAGGCAATAAAAATGAAGCATACAGTTTATGCGTGATGTCTTTTTGTGCTTGGAGACACAGACAGGAAGTCAGAACATACTGAGAGCTGGAGCAGACATGTTGGTTTGGATCTGCACACGTTGACAATCAGAAGAATAATACTAATAATTATTACTATCTGAAACAATTGAGTCTGATCATCTTTCTACCTCCGAACCATCAGCGCGTGACGAGTGGACCTGTTGATTGACAGCTTCATCAGCCGCTGTGTTGTGGTCGCCGCTGGAAACGACGGGGCGGGATGTGATTTTGTTTGGGGGTCGCTCTGGGAGCCACACTGGGCCCACTGCGCGTCTCTGGTTTCCTGCCTGTTGTTTGAGCTCAGGAGACCCCCGCACATTATGTGTGTGTGGACGTTCCCCCTGAGCGGCTGCTTTGTCCGGGTGTGTTTACATACACACTCAGTTTCCTGTTGGGCCAAAGCCAGAGGGTGTTTGACCACCGCAGGGCGTCCCACCAGCTGCTCCCCCTCCTCCCTGTGTGTGTTTACGGGGGTCATCTGTCCACGACCCCAAAACAGAGCGTGGACAGACAGCTGCAAGCCGGCACGCACACCCCGATAATCACACCAGTCTAATTATCACCAAACAAGACCGGAGCAGTTTTGGTCTTTACAGGTGAAATTCTAATGAAATTTAAAAGTCTTTGCGCAGCTTGAATCCAAACTGCCTCTTTAAAACTATTTCGACGACTACAAATGGACGTTAGAACATCGGACAAAGAGGCCCACATGAAGGGAATGAAAGGTGTTTAACACTTTTAAATTTAATGATTCACCAGATGTTTGTTGGAGAAGTTACGGGACTGTACTCCTTTATTATTGTCCCCAAAATCTAGATTACTGCCGACATGCCAGGTGCCTCTCTGACCTCGACTTCCAACCTGAAAACACAGTAATTAGA